TATGGGAGCAGGGAAGTAGATATCTTAATTAAGGGAGCCATTTTTGGATTGGCAAGAGGCTTGGCTCTAGAGGGGTTCCCAGGTATCCATGGGGATGTTCCCAGCTAGGACCCTGGGCAGTGGAGGAGAGGGTGCCTGAACTGGCCTTGTTCCGTAATCAGACTGATGACTATCTTGAATATCACCATAGAACCTTCATCCAGAGATGGATGGAGATAGAGACAGAGACCCACATTGGAGCACTGGACTGAACTCCCAAGGTAGCAAGGCATTTCCAAAACACTGGCCTTATGGAGAGAGGCCCTCAGGAGTGGAGACTTAAGGAGAGTCTCTTAGAGAGAAGGGGACAGGATCCTTCTTTAGCTCAAGGGTCTCCAACTGGTGTTCAACTGTGACTTGAAGAGGAATCACACCAGAGATTCTGCCTAGCACCTCTGAGCAGGAAAGGAATATGAGACATGGAGATGAAGATGCTTTGTATTCTATGCTTATGATGATGGCATCTCCACAGGGAGGGACAGGAGCATACTCCCTGAGCTTGGGCCATTTTTGGTAACATGATCTGCCTTGTAATGCCTTCAGATCTGTAATGTCAAGGAAAAGAAAAACAAAAAAAATGGAAGTCAATAAATCCATTAAAGAAAGTAAAAAAAAAACAATCAAGCAGGTGAAGGAAATTGTTCAAGAATTGAAAACTGAAATAGAAACAATAAAGAAAATACAATATGAGGGAATTCTGGAAATGGAAAATCTGTGAAAGTGAAAGTAACTACAGATGCCAGCATCGCCAACAGAATATAAGAAAGCAAGAGAAATATCTAAGGCATTGAAGATATGATAGAGGAAAGAGATTTATCAGTCAAAGAAAATGTTAAATCCAATAAATTCCTAACATAAAACAGCCAGGAAATCTGGGAAGCAACGAAAAGCTCAAATCTAAGAATAATAGGAATAGAAGGAGAATAATCCTACCTCAAAGGCACAGAAAACCTATTCAACAAAATCATAGAAGAAAAATTACTGAATCTAAAGAAGGGCATGCCTATAAAGGTACAAGAAGCTTACAAAACACCTGATAGACTGACCCAAAAGAGTTCCCTTGCCACATAATAATCAACATACTAAAGATACAGAATAAAAAACTTTAGTCCTAACTCACCCCCCAAAACTGGGGACTGAAGTGAAGAAGCAAAATGGTGGCCTTGCTTCTCGCTGTCCTGCGAACAGGTTGTGTCAATAGGGCTGCAAGAGCAGGGCGCAGCCCTTTGGTCCTGGTGGCTGGAGCACTTGGGTCCCTGAGAGGACAAACGCAATGCTGATCCTGGAGCTGCTGGGACTAACCGCTGAGCATCGCCATGCGCGGCCAGGTTCCCCTCCACCTCGAGCCCATGGGGTTGCTCTGGGCCATGGAGCCCGATAAGCCTTTCTGGCGCCTGGTCAAGCGCGACGTGCAGATGCCCTTCGTGGTGGAGCTGGAGGTACTGGACGGCCAGGAGCCCGATCGCGGGTGGCTGCTGTCGCAGGCGGTGCAGGAGCTTCACTTCATGGCTCCAGGGGCGCGGTGTTCCCTTGCGCGAGGGCCGTGTGAGCGCCAGCTCTTCCTACCTCCAGGACATGGGCCCTATCCTGGTATTGTGGATCTTTTTGGAGTTGGAGGTGGCCTTCTGGAGTAGCGAGCAAGTCTGCTGACTGGGAAGGGCTTTGCTGTCTTGGCTCTGGCTTATTATAACTATGATGACCTCCCCAAGGGCATGGCAACCATGCACATAGAGTACTTTGAAGAAGCCATGAACTACCTACTTAGTCACCCTGAGGTAAAAGGTTCAGGAATTGGGATTCTTGGGATTTCCAAAAGGGGTGAACTTGGCCTTGCTATGGCCTCCTTCCTGAAGGGCATCAAAGCTGCTGTCTTCATCAATGGCTCTGTGGCTGCTGTTGGGAACACCATATACTACAAGGATGAGGCTATCCCTTCTGTGTCTCTTCTGAGAGATGAAGTCAAAGAGACCAAAGATGGCCTCTTGGATGTTGTGGAAGGGTTTCAAAGCCCTTTGGTAGAGATGAAGAGCTTCATCCCTGTGGAAAGGTCTGACACCACCTTGCTGTTCCTTGTGGGTCAGTATGACCACAACTGGAAGGGTGAGTTCTATGCCGATGAGATCTCCAAACACTTACAGGCCCATGGGAAGGAGAAGCCCTAAATCATCAGCTACCCAGAAGCGGGGCACTATATTGAGCCCCTTTACTTCCCTCTGTACAAGGCTGGCATAGAAGTCCTGGTGGGTACTAATACCACCTTTGGAGGGGAGCCTAAGCCTCATGCCATGGCCCAGGTGGATGCGTGGCAGCAACTCCAGACTTTCTTCCATAAACACCTGGGTAGTAAGAATTAGGATGTGACTCCTCAAATATTACCCACTATATTATGGTTTTGGAGAAAGTCTTAAATATACTATCAGAGTATCCATTCTAGCCAGTTCATCTGGACACATTCTAATTCCTTAAAGTTTTTTCTTTCTTTCCTTTTTTGCTTTTTTTGGAGAAAGAGTTTTTCTGTGTAGCCCTAGTTGACCTGGAACTCACTTTATAGACCAGGCTGGCCTTGAACTTCCTTAGATTCACCTGCTTCTGCCTCCCTAGTGCTGGAACTAAAGACTTTAACCATTATGCCCAGTGTAAGTTTTTTCTTTATGTAATACAATAAGTGCCTCTGAGGGACTGCAGATATAGCAGAGTGGAGATGTGCTTGTCTTTCTGGGATAGTGAATAGTGTTTTGAGTTCTTGCCTTGGTGCCATAAGACGACAAAGAAATTAAAACTTTCTTATAAAAGTCGTGCCTGTTGAGCTGGGGAGATGGCTTAGTGGGCAAGGGTGCTTGCTGCTAAGCTGAAAACCCAGGACCCACATGGGAAGAGAGAACCAACAAGTTATCTACACACACACACACATGTCCCACGCTATCCTCGCCAGCAAGAACCAGACGGAACACTAGGATCCTTCTGCAGGAATGGCTTTAATACCCCTTGGGAGAGCAAGCATCAGCCAACATGGCTGGGGACCCAGATATAATGGAACCCATCCCTTATATAGGAAACGGACCCTCCTTTGGACGTGTCACTCTTGGATTGGTCCGCTGCTCCCAGTCCTAGGTGATGCCTTGGGAGTAGGCGGGGCCACAGTAGTGGAAAGTTACCAACACGTGTGCGTTCACCTGGCGGTGAAGCCGGATGTCAGCACCATCTTGATGATGGAGAATGTGGCTGCGGCCCCCCACATCTCTCCCTTATTATTACTTCTTTGCAGAAAGGCAACTCCCTCAGAAGATAAAGATAGAGGTCGCACTTCCCAAAGTGGAAACATTAAAATGGGCTTATACAGAATCTGTCCCTAGGTTTATGACACCTGGAACCTATCCGGCCTGCCCTCTGCCATTTTTCTGGGAAAGGGAACATACGGCAGGAAACCCTTATGCAGGGCGACTTATCTCTCAGAGAGGGCCATTCTCTCTGCGATGCTTTTCAGCTCGACAACCTTTAGGGCTAGCTAAGCCAAGTACTCCACCCTGTGCAATGGACCACTGTCCTAGGGGTGTAGGAGCTGGTTGGCATAAACCTTACTGCTTCAGCATAGATAACCACACATCAGTAGAGGCCCCTGTTTTAGGGCAGCCAGCGCTTGTGCAATAACCACTTTGTCCCTAAGACTTTGGGATTTGAGTCAGCAGACCATCCAGAGGAGAAACGCTATTCCATAGCATAGGACTGTTCCAAAAACATTTCCACCCCCACCCATTCTTTGAAGTAGGGGAATGAAAGACACAACCCAGGACTGGAATCCTATGGCCAAGCTTATAAATCATCTCTAGGACGGTAGGGGGGGGCAGAGTCTTACTGGTTGTAAAAAATCGAGGAAACACCGCCATCCAATGGCTGACTGGTAACAGCTTCGGGAAAGCTGAGAGTGTCCTCCATCGGTGCTCTGTCATCCATCTGCAAAATGGCAGGGGGAACAGCAGCCAGGTCCTCAGGCGAATCCGTGTGTTGTGGATCACTCTTTACTGTTCGGGTCAATCGCTCTGGCAGCCAGAATGGACTTCCTTGATCCTGTGGGAAGACACAAACAGTTCCCCTGGATCTCAATAAAATGGGATCCGGGCCTTTCCATTCATTAGAAAGCACGTCTTTCCACTTAACCAAGTCTTTGGGCCGCTGCGGATCCGAACAATGTCGTGTTATAGCATTTTGGCCATTATCATCCAGATTTAAAAAATTTATGGTGAACAGAGCCATGGCAATGGCCACCCTTGGCGTCGGGGGCAGCTCTGTCAATATTCCCCCTTTCTGTTTAAGTAGATAAGGTGAATCCAAGGTGAATCCAAGAGATCCCTGTAGGTGCGGTGGTCAGGATTCCTTGGCGTCCCGAGGGATTCGGCACCAGTTGTCCCACGCTATCCTCGCCAGCAAGAACCAGACGGAACACTAGGATCCTTCTGCAGGAATGGCTTTAATACCACTTGGGAGAGCGAGCATCAGCCAACATGGCCGGGGACCCAGATATGATGGAACCCATCCCTTATATAGGAAACAGACCCTGCTTCGGACGTGTCACTCTTGGATTGGTCCGCTGCTCCCAGTCCTAGGTGATGCCTCGGGAGTAGGCGGGGACACAGTAGTAAAAAGTTACCAACACGTGTGCGTTCACCTGGCGGTGAAGCCGGATGTCAGCGCCATCTTGATGATGGAGAATTTGGCTGCGCCCCCCCCCACACACTCGTGCATGCTCATAATTAAAATGTAAGCTATAAATAGTGCCTCTCCAAAAAGTTCTTTTATATTATGAATTAAAGGGGAACCTTAAGTATTAACATTCTTATTAAAATAAAAATTAGATTTTTATAGACAAAAAAGAACTTTAAGAGCAGCAAAGGAAAAGGGCTAAGTAGCATATAAAGGTGACCTATCAGAATTACACCCTATTTCTCAATGGAGACTCTAAAAGTCATAAAATTCCATGTAGATGTTTTGGAGACATTAAGGGACCTTGGATGCCAGCCCAGACTATTATAGCTAGCAAAAGTTTTAATCTCCATAGATGGAGAAAACAAGATATTTTGTGATGAGATTTTAAAAATACTATCCAAAAATCCAGCACTAAAAAGAAAAAAGAGAAAAAGTATATTCAAGAAATGCTGTTAGCATAACTGGATGTCAGCAAATAAAAGAATGAAAATAGATTCATATCTATCACCATGCCCAAAACTCAAGTTCAATTGTATCAAAGACTTCAAAATAAAACCAACCACATTGAACGTCATAGAAGAGAAAATGGTAAGTACACTGGAATGTTCTGGCACAGGAGACCATTTCTTAAATATAATCCCAGTATCAGAGACACTGGAACTATTAATAAATGGGACCTCCCCAAACTGAGAAGCCTCTGTAAAGCAAAGGATATGGTGAACAAGACAAAACAGCAACCTACAGAATGGAAAAGGATCTTCACTAACCCCACATTGGACAGAGGGCTGATCTCCAAAATATACAAAGAACTCAAGAAATTGGTAATTAAAAGAACAAATAATCCAACAAAATATGGTACAGACTTAAATAGAGAACTCTCAACAGAGGAATCTAAAATGACTTAAAGACACTTAAGGAAATGTTTAACATCTTTAGCCATCCAAGAAATGTAAATCAAAACAACTCTGTGATTCCATCTTACACCAGTAAGAATGGCTAACATAAAAAACATTGATGACAACTTATGCTGGAGAGGTTGTGGGGTAAAGGAAACACTCCTACATTGCTGATGGGAGTGAAAACTGGTCCAGCTTCTTTGGAAATCAGTATCGTAATTTCTCAGAAAATTAGGAAACAACCAACCTCAAGATATAACAATACTACTTTTGGGTATATAATCAATGGATACTCAATCATACTCCAAAGTCATGTGCTCAATGATATTCATAGCAGCATCGTTTGTCATAGCCAGAACCTGGAAACAACCTAAATGCTCCTTGACCAAAGAGTAGATAAAGACAATGTGGTACATTTATACAATGGACTACAACACAGCAGGGAAAAATGGCATCTTGAAATTTGTGGGCAAATGGATAGATCTAGAAAACATCATATTGAGTAAGGTAACCTATTCCCAGAAAGACAAATATAATCTGTACTATCCCTAAGTAGCTTTTAGACAAAGGAAAACCAGCCTACAATTCACAATCCCAGAGAACCTAGACAACAATGAGGACCCTAAGAGAGGTATACATCGATCTAATCTACATGGGAAGTATAAAAATACAAGATCTCCTGAGTAAAGGATTATGGAAAAGGGTAGAAGGGGAGGGGAAAAAGAAAAATATATAGCTCAATAAAAACAACTTTTAAAAATCCAGCACTACAGAAAATATTAGAAGGAAAATTCTAACCCAAGGAACTCAGTTACATTCATGAAACACAGGCAGTAGGTAATCTCACAACAACAAAACCCAAAGAAGGGAAACACACACAGCAATCACCACCACCAAAACAAACAAACAGAAAAAACAAAACAAAACAAGAATTAACAATCACTGGTCAATAATATCTCTTAATATCAGTAGACTCAATTCAATAAAAAGATGAAGGCTAACAGAATGGGTACAAAACAGGATCTATCCTTCTGATGCATACAAGAAACACATCTCAACTTGAAAGACAGACATTACCTCAGAGAGGTTTGGTAAAAATTTTCCAGTAAAATGGACCTAAGAAAAGTTGGTGCACCTTCCCTAATAGCTAACAAAATAGACTTAAAACTAAAATAAATCAAAAAAAGATGGAGAAGGACATTTCATATTAATCATGGGAAAAATTTATCAAGTCTTAATTCTGAACATCTATGCACCAAATACAAGGACACCCACATTTGTAAAAGAAACATTACTAAATCTTAAACCAGAATCAAAACCCCACATACTAATAGTGGTAGATTTCAGCACTACACTCTCACCAATGGACAGATTGTTGAGACAGAAACTTAACAGAGAAGCAAGGGAATTAGCAGATATTATGAATCAAAAGGATTTAATAGACATCTACATAACATTTTACTCAAACACAAAAGAATACACCTTCTTCACAGTATCTCATGGAACCTTTTCTAAAACTGACCACATACTTCTTAATAAAGAAAATCTCAAAACATACAAAAACATTGGAATAACCCCTTGTATCTTATTGCACAACCATTGGTTAAAGTTAGAGTTCAACAACTAAACAAACTACAGAAAACCTACAAACTCATGGAAACTTAACACCTTAAGCACCACTGGGTCAAGGTAGAAATAAAGCAAGAAATTAATGGCTTCCTAGAATTCAATGAAAATGAATCCAAAAAATAGCCATA